ATACTCCAATCTTTTAAGCACTTGTAAGGCATCACTAGGCTGGAAATTTTATGATCTTTTCAAAAATCGAAAAAACCAATATGGCGGCTATAAGAAAATTAAAGTTAAGACAGGTTGCGGGAAGACAAAGACGATTAAGACATGTCATACATGCTATCCTATTTGCCTTAAAAAAATGTCCGAATAATGTCACATTTTGAAAACTGCCAAATTAACTGTTTCGGATTTACTGGCAAAAAAAATAATTTGTCACTTTCGCTTTTCGCCGATATTTCCAAAACCAATCAACCGATCCTGAATATGAACCCGGCTATCGAATAGACTAAGTTTACTCTAAAACTATCGCCATTTAACCTTTGCTGTAGGTATAACAGGAGCCGAAATTCCTATATAGAGAAGCGAATCTGGACACACTGTTTGTCATGTGATTTTTGAGTAATTAGAAGAGGTCTATTGTTTATATATACAAATCTATAGTTTTAAATTAATTAGGATCATTTCTAAAATAAAAGAAATACATACTGGAAACAAAATCCACCCAATTTACTGATTTCACTCAGCTTCATCAGCATCGTCAATATTTAGATAAGGAAGACCATTATCTTTCAGTACACATGCTTTCTTACTTTCCCTTGATATACTTTCTGGTTTAGTTTATATTTGTGCGTCGCGTCGGTAGCCTACGACAAAGGTCGACTTACATGTATTATTTCAAGCCACATCTAGCCAAATTAGAAAACTTTTTTACAGATACAGCAATTGACGGAGTATGTTTCCATCACATCAACAAAATCAACCCTATTCAGCAATTTCTTCATTTTAGCATTGAAGTAGTCATGTAAACGCCCAATACTACAAGCAAGTTAACAGTATTAGGATAGTCATCAGACTAATATGTTTGCACACAAAGTGCTATTTTCCTCAGATCCTTTATTGCACAATTGATGGTATATTTCAAAGTCGGAGGTTGTCAATTTATTTGGTGTTAGTGTATGTATACCCTCCTAACCCCAGTGATTCTACGCATCTATTGGACATATTTCTCACATCATAGATTTATCCATCTATTGGCCATCAGCGGTAAGATAAATTCGCGTCTCTGATCTCTGGCTACCTCTGCGCTGCCTTATGGTCACTTCCGTTAGCTGTCGTCTTGCTGTTGGTCTGCCGCTGCCGTGATTTGATGACTAACTGATGAGGCAAGCTAAGTCAACTTGCCACATGGTCCGCGCATTGTCGGTAGCACAGGGGACATGTTTACGGATTAATAATTGTATGGGCATGTTTGACAGGCTTGATCCATTGTTATACATCTTCGTAGCTCAGAAGGTCTAACTTGTGCCAAACACATTCCTTCATAAACCGATGATATCGTTGCATAGGAAGTGCAGTTAACTCCATCTTTTTGGCAAATAATACTTATGCGATTTTTCATTCAATTGAGGGTTTGAGGGATCCAAATAATATATTTATATCCTCCGTTCACATTTGTAAGTATATATTCACAACCTCAAAACGAGACTATACTTGCTTCGGTGGAAGCGCAAAAGCAACGCAACATAAAATCGAAGTCGACTCGAAATCATGTTGCTTTTGATGAGAACAGTGCTTAAGGGAACTCGTTACACTATATTCAGCGACCATGGGCGCCCACAGGAGTTTTTCGCAGTGGTGAGAAATAACTTTTTGTGAAAGTGTACACGCCTCAAGGACTATTTGAAGAATGGATGGGTGGAGGCTAGAACATTTTATCATAGGGGGCCAAATCCTGCGAGTCCCCAAAATTATACACAAAACCATGTTAAATATGCAAATTTTAATTCCGAACTGCCCCCTGGCCCGTCCTGCGGACGCTTATGACGGAGACGCAGCATAGTGAGAGAGCACCTTCCTTTGGTACTTGAATTACTGACAAGAGTGACAACTCTATTATCTTATGTTTGAGAAAGCGTCCCAGAAATTAGAAAAGTTTTCGTTGTTGATGTTGAGTACGCGTAAATGGAAAACGACGGAACCAGCTTATCAACATTTATGAGAAATTTGTCGGTGTATGATGTATTGCGAACTTTAGTTACACAATTACATATGAATATATGACAAACTGGTTTTCCAGACACCCTGTCATTATTATTTTTTCGCTCGAAGACTTACTTTCTAAAGTGCTTTTGGCCGTTTGCTGTCATCGTAGATGTTTAAGAATACTGACTAAGACTTTCAAACTCTGTGGAAGTTTATGATGTCAAAAGCAGCTTGTTCGAGTTTTGGTAGTGGAAACATTTTTGACGAAGTGCTGAAATTTTCATTAGCATTCTTACTGCAGAATCATCGCACGAACAGGAGGAAAATATTAAATATGCCAATATTATTTAAATGAACAGGAAATTTAGGATTGAATTCAAGGCGCCAAGTAAATCTGGATGTAGTTCGCAGAAATGCCTACTGGAGGCATTCCACGAATCAATGAAGTTGCTATTTGTGTAACCTGTCTATTTTCACTTCCTACGCCAATTAGCGAGGAAGCATTGTTAACGCGAATAATTGGAAAATGCGTATTATATTTTTTAGTTAGCTTAGTTTGCAGTAATGATTACTGGAGGCCTTCCACGAATTAACGAAGTTGCTATTTGTGTTGCCTGTCTCTTTTTACTGCCTACGCCAATTGGCGAGAAAGTATTGTTTTCTAGAACAATTTGGAAAATGGGTTATTATATTTTTTGGATGTTATATGATATATATATATATATATATATATATATATATATATATATATATTGTATATATACGAGCTCCTACCCATTTCAGTTGGCCCACTTCAAGATTTGTACCAAAATATGCCTTCATAAACTAAACATGACGAAACTATTTACTTCTAAAGCAATTTATTTTCTCAGAAACATTTTGGATACACCCTAGTCGTAAAAATACATATTTGAAATCACTTAGACCTATAACTAATAGAACATCTGAACAAATAAACAATGTGCGAATAAATGCGCGAAGTTAACAAAGCAACAATTGAAAGATTACCATTGGGAACATCACCTTTATTTTTTATTGCGGCTGAAATTCTTTGGGGCATAGTGTTAATCAAGTTTTGGCAAAAATTTGGTGTAAAACAATCCCATATTTCTTGAAGCTTTTGTCTCATTTCGGTGATTGTACGAGCAGGATGTTGTCGTAGAACCTTTTTCATCTCGTGCCACGAAGTTTTAATAGGTGACAGATCTGGACTGCTAGAAACCCACTTCAAAAGTGATAAATTTTTTCTTCCATCCATTTTATAGCCTTTTTTGAGGTATGGCACCTTGCACCATCTTGCTGAAACACAAAGTCTTGGCCGGATGTCAAACATTCTTCCATCACTGGTAAAATTGATTCTTCTAAAATAGCCAAATATTTGTTTGTATCCACATTTCCATCAATAAAATGAAGTTTTCCTACTCCTTTTGATGACATACTCCACCAGACCATAATAGATGTTGGAAATTTCACTTTTCTCTTCAGACAAACAACATGGAATGCTTCATATTTTTGCGAATAACTCTACTGCGACTGTCACCAACCCAAACTTCGAATCGGACCTCATCACTCCATTGTATTGCACACCATTGTTGAATAGTCCATTGTCTATGTTCTTTAGCCCATCTAAGCCGATTTTTCTATAGCAGTGGAGTTAATAGTGGCTTTTCTTTGGCCTATAAACAAGTTTTGCAACTTTAGGGTTTTTGCTTCACTTTTTTTTATTAGAAAGCTTACCTTGCAAGTGCTAAATCCCAGTTTGTAGGCCTCTCTATGAGTTGTGGGCCTCGAAATTCTCCTTCCAATAGCGGTCACTCCACAGAGCACTTAATTGTAAACAATTGGCACGCCTGTTTTTCACGATTATTCTTCTTAATGCTCTTCGGTCGGCATTTGTGATATTACTTTTTTCACATATCGTGGCCTAATATTAACTGAACCAGTGACGTTATATCTTCTAACAATATTTCTCACACTGTACCGCGATAAATCTAACGAAGTTGCAATTTCTGAGTTTGATAATATAAATTTACGGCGTGCGAGCTGACAAGTTCAAAAGAGTAGTGAAAGTCAATTAAGCAAAATAAACGTATTCTCATCCGCCATTTTTATTGATAGAGTTAACTGACAAAGATAACAATTAGGGCACACGGCCGTTTCTTTTGAAGTGGCCGAGTAGTAAAGAAATAAAAGTCTAAAAATGAAAGCAGTGTTTTCATAAACAGTTTTCTCTTAGATAGCTAACTCTAAACAGCTGTTGTCGGATGGCGGAGAGGAGTGCCTGTCCCTTTTAGTACAAAATGAGATATTTCATCTGCAGTGCGTGCTCCATGCTCAAGCGAACCGTCAAACGCGCGTAGCTCATAATAATCATTAGGTTTTCAATAATTTCCCAATTTTCTGCGCAATTTTCTTGATTTTCCTTTCTGTCTAGAGAATTTATTAAATCAGTGGTTTTTTTCAATTGATACTTGAAATATATTGTTTTGGGTGATATTATCTAAAATGGGAGTATCATTTGACTTAATGTAGACATTAGCAAAGTAACTAGCAAAAGCATTACTTATTCCGGGACCGTCCATAGCCACATTGTCACCATACTTCACTTTATTAGGAATAGAAGAATGGTTTTTCTTTTGCTAGAAACATACCTCGAGATTCGCAGTATATGCATCAAAGGCCTTTTTTATTAGTTCCTTAGATTTGGTCCTACAAAATTCATGATAAGAGCCTATGTCATTATACTTTTGTACTTTCTATGATATTTGAGTTTTTGTTTATTTGTTTTTGTGGTTTCAATTTAAAATAATTAGGAAAATTACCTCTAACGTTATGTAAGGGCACAAATTTGTCAATTACTTCATAGAGGTTTCTATAAAATAAATGAACGGCATCGTTAACAGACTTGCGTTGAAACAGCTTCTACCAGTCCACTTTGGATAAACAATCGTTGATGCTATCATCGGCTTTGTTAAAGTTACGGTAACTGGAGTTGTATTGTGAAAGTGCTGTATCTGGTCACAGTGATGAAGAAACGAGATGGCTGGATGGTGGCCGTCTTCTTCTACCAAACTATCGTCTGCCCGAGACACATCCCTGTTTAAATCTTTGTTGCTGAATATCAAGTAGAACAGTTTATTATTGAAGTTATGAATTGAGTTGAAATGCATAAGTTCCAAAAGAGAAAACATGTCAATCAGACTGCTGGCTTTTTCATCAACTTGGAGAGGCTCTAGGAACGTATTATTATGTATTAGGGACCAGCTGACGGTTGGAAGGTTGAAGTCACCCACCCATTATGCTGGTGAAATAATCTTCCATTAGATTTCAGTGAACTCACGAAAGATGCATAAGCATAGACATTGTTAGGTGTAGGTAAACACAACACACATATACCTAACTTATCATCATTTTTTCCATCTATCACTATCCACATATCTTCAGCTCCCGATTCCAGCTGAGGACAACGTCGTGAGTTGCGTGAGGTGTTCGCGGCAATCAGAACACCTCCTCCATCCTTTTTTTGTGAAGCGGAACTTGCTCTGTCCCTCCTGAAAATCGATTATTTTTCATTGAAAAGTTCAATGTCGCAAATACCGTCTTTTAGCCAAGTTTCAGTGAGACATATTACGTCGTGATTTGTTGCACAAATATTATGGTAGAATTGATTTGATTTGGATCTCAAACCCCTGGTAGTCTGATAGTAAATATTGAGATTCGCCATGGAACAAACTAGACGGCTTATAGGTACACTTGTGCTGATAAACGCAGGATTATTTGACGTTTTTCAAAGCATCTATGTTCTTGACCATCATGATTTTTGAAGTGTCATACTTTCTGAGGAAAATACTTCCGTTCTTACATCAAACATATATGAATCGTTTTTCCTTGGCAAATGCGCGGACTTCCTTAAATAGGACCTTATTTTTGATAGTGAGGTGTTCATTGATGTCCGGAGACACCTTGAATCACCATCTTTGGCGAACCTCTCTCACGCTGCAGGCGCTTGGCCTTCGCAGCGACCGACGGGAAATAAATCGGACTATAACATTTGATCGGCACACGATGAATGTATTTAACCTTATCCAACTGTACCTTGTAGTTATCATAATCGCCAATTTTCAATAGTTATGTCGTTAAGGTCTTCATTCTGTATTTCTATGTTATTAAGTCTCGAAATTTGATCAAGATTGTTGACTCTAACTTTGAGCGACGAGACCTCCAGTTTGAGGGCAGCATTTCTTATTGCAGTTTTTCAGTTTTTTCGACGTAATGGTGGAATTTTGACAACTTTTCCTCAAAATCGGAGACAACATTGCAAAAAGTAACGGAGTTCATAATCGAAATTATTTGTTCTCGTAGTTGCCTGATTTCAGCGATCAATTCTTGTATTCTAGCCGAAACTTCATCACTACCGCCAGCAGCAACCGACCCAAAAGTAGAGGTCGTCTTAGATGGTTTAATGGATCCGAAGGACCTGCGGGAAGTCTGATTTATGTTCTCCCTACAGTACCTGCAAATCCAGGTTACTCTTGCTCGAATACCATCCAGCTGTTTACCACTTAGGTCGAGTCACCTACCGTGGTAAAAACGCGCACAAAAACCTGCACATTGTAGATCTGAGTTTTTGCGTTTCACTGTATCAGCACACAGTTTACACAGTCTATCATTCATGATTATTTAATTAAATGTTATTTCCGTTGCGTAGTCTACTATACCGGAAGAGCTTTTGCCAGGCTTATATGACAAAGCACACGTTACTCGAAAAAACAACTCATTTATATGGCGACCGTACCACGAAAACACACTGTTTTTAAGGAGCAAAACAGATACGTCGATATGGATTGAAGACAACCCACACAGATTTGCAGAAACGCATTTCCGTTATCAATTGTGCAATGGGAATTATCGACCTGCTGCGGAGGAATATCGAAACCAATATCCCCGTAGAGCAAATTTTCCTGACCACGGCCCATGTAACAGGAGAAATGCCTGGGAGACCAGTAAGAACAGGAAGGCCGAGGATCGGGGTAGGTGATGAAGATGTGTTATTACCGTTAGCTGAAAATTAGCCTTCTAGCAGCGTGCGTCATGTTTCGCGGTATGCTGGTGTAGCTGAGTCGGCAGAACACACTACACAATTTTACACGGAGAGCGGTTAAACCCGCTTCACATTCAACGTGTGCAGGCGCTTTTTCTAGAAATGACTTGCAGCCCGTCAAAAAAATCTTATGGGCGGAAGAAGCTTATGTTCAAAGAACAGGAATTTTTAACACTCATAACTTATACACTGGGCTCTAGCGACTCCACGAATGATAAGACAGGACCGCTTCCAACACGGATTCAGAGTCAACTTATGGGATCGGCTAGCCCATCAATTGGCCCATTTGAGCTACCAGGAAAGTGTGTATGGAGAAACTTATTTAAATGTTGTACAAACAATTTACCAAATCTTGTAGCCGTTATGTTAGTCAACATGCGTCTTTAGCCAGCCGCACAACGATGTGATTGCAACATGATGGAACCCCTCCACAGAATGCACACCAGGTCAAGGTTGATTTCTTTGTATGGGGTAATATGGATGAAGTGTTTTATGCTGAAGCTTAAAGCGTATAAGTTTCAAGAGAACGGATTGCTATTGCGAGTAGCAGCCTCCGCAGTAATTCCCGCATGATTCAGCGGGTTCAAAGAAATTTTGTACAACGATGGAGAGCCTGCATTAGATCAGAGGGAAGACACTTCGAACATATAATATAGTCTCATATGGAAACAAACAATGGCTCTTTTCAGAGCTGCAACATATTTTATGAAAAAAAAAATGACCCATAGGATATAGAGGAAATAAAACTCGTATTCTTGTGATCTAAATATCACAAAAACTCAACGGGTGTAGGTGTATCTGCTTTGAATGCTGAATCACGGTATGATAATGTGTGTATCCGTGTATACTACGCCTTGCTGAATTGTCACGTTGCTGGGTGGTCGGTACTGTCGGAGAAGCGGTAGGAGGAGATCGCGAATGTCAAATTTGTGTTTTTTTTCCTAAGATGACAGCGTTGCGTATAAAGTGGAACTGCTTTGACGCCACTTTTTCTGCTGTTTTTTACTGCTTTTCTCACTGTGCATATCCCCAATATTTTCATTTTCAATGCGAGTTTGCGCTAGGCTTCGTTCCAATGTCTCGAGCGACATCCAAATAGCCCTAGAAGTAACATTGTACTTTCTCGACATAGAGGTGAACGTTTAGCGCCATACCACGTTCTCAATAAGTTACTGCGTTACCTGTAGGTAATTTGAAACTTAATACCAATAGACAGCGGCGTATAGAAGTTTGTTCTACATTCAGAGTGCACAATTTTAGAAATGGATAATTTTTTATTGATACGCAATACGTCCCTCATCTTCGAGACCATTCCTAGTACATGCAGTGCAATGCATCAAAGTGAGTATCAAAGTAGAATTTTTTCAGAAACGTTGGTGCATGATTTGGGTGTACATGGTCCCATCATTTTTTTGGAGCTCTAGGGTGAAAATGTTTGCAACAATGTTTGATAACTGATTTTGTAGCTCTTGATATGTACATACTATACCTATAGACTACGGTGAGAATCAAATTTGGCTGATGTCGTAATCTGTACGAGAGCAAAGCATGAGAAGCGTACAATATGTATGTTAGAAAGAGTGCGCCGATGGCATCCGTGGCCTCGCCACTCGAGTTGCTAAGCAGCGAGGTGCTTATATCTCTTTCTAACGCACATATTGCACGCGTTTCTCTCGTATACATTACGAAGTCAGTGGTATATGGTGTTTACTGTATACAATATTATATTACCTCACGAAATCAATTAATCCTAACTCCAAGCATATACATATATGTAATATCGCGCCCACCTTGGATATGCATATCACATCACGGCGCTGTTTGCTACCGTCGGCTAATAGTAACATATAATAATAATAATAGGTTAAGCTACTGAGATTAACAGCGAAGGATAGTCAGTACGGCCAGCACACCTTCTATTTATCCAAGCGTGGTTTTTGTCTGTCTTCCGCGACTGAGTTTTAACATTTTTAGGTAAACAATTACACCTACTTATAAAAAGAGAACAAAATTACCCAGAAATGGAAAAGGAACAAAATGAAGCTTCGGAATGTAACGACGTAATAGGGACTCGTCGCTATGCCACGAGGTCCGCGACCGGCAGGGAGCGTAGGGGAAGGTCGCTCCCGGTCGTCATCCAGCGAAATCCCCCCAACATCACCACATATACAAATACTCTCACTCACTGAATGACCTAACACAACACCAACAAGCGGTCAATGCTGGTAATAATGTTGCTGTGGACGCATCGCCCCAGCCCACGTTACCAGCCCATAGTAGGCGGCAGAGAACCATTTGGACGACAGAAATGAATGAGTACGTGGTTCGCTGCTACTATAGAATTATCAAATTGCAAACTTCACAGGAACTTTATAGTGCTGAATTTCATAAATTAGTGACAGAAAAATTTCCCCAGTTAAGACAAAAGACACTGCAGAATATCCTAGACCAGCGCAGGTCTAGATTTGTGAACAGCAGATTGCCAGCGGAGAGATTAGGTATAATTAGGCATGAAGTAGCAGCCGAATTGGGCATGGTAAATGATGCACAGCAGAGTCAAGAGCAAGTAAATGACGCTCAGACTGAAATGCCAAGCTTTTCGCCATCAGTGCTGGAGGAGGAATTCAGAGCCATTATAATGAGCCTTGATTGTATAGATCCGACAAAAAAGCCTCGGCTGCCCAAACTATTTGCAATCCAACGGCAGCTAAAAACCTACGTGAAATGAACAGAATTATCGCTGCTGAGATTAGCGACCAAACAGATTTTAAGGACCTACTCGCCATGATCTATGCTGGGGCATTCGCGGTTCTAAAGCTAAACGGACAGAGACCTACAGATGTTATAAGTCGGAACGGAACTAAAAGGCAGCCAGCTTGGGAAAGGAGGCTAAGCAAGAACATAGATAATATCAGGAGCGATATAGATATCCTAACGCAGTACCAAAAACCAACAGCCAGAGAGTGAAAAAGAAAGGGGACACAATAATAAGACGATATACATCGGAAGAAAACCCAACCATAGTCGAAGTTTTGGACCTTCTAAAGCAGAGACTGTTAGCCTTATCTCAAAGAGTGAAGAGATATAAGAAGAGCAGTCAGCGTCGTAAACAAAACATCATATTTCATAGAAATCAGAGAGCACTTTATAAATCTGTAGGCAAAGAATCAGATCGTACACCACAAGAGAAACATCATTTCCTAACACAGAAGACATAAGACACTTCTGGAGCGGTATATGGAGCAACCCCAGAGAACACAGAACAGCGCATTGGTATCAGCAAGAGAAGGCTAGAACTTCCATACAAGCAATGCTGTCTTGGACCATAACTAAGGATGATGTAGTGAAAGCAATAGGTAGTACTTCCAATTGGAGAGCTCCAGAGCCAGATGGTGTTCACAATTACTGGATAAAGGCATTTACTTCCACCCACCAACAACTTGCGAAATGCTGCTCAACATTCCTCGAGAGGCCGGAAACTATCCCAGAATTTATAACAACAGGAGTTACATACCTGATCCCAAAAACTGCACAATATACTGCTGATCCCGCAAAATACAGGCCAATTACTTGCCTTTCTACAGCGTATAAACACCTTACTGCTATATTGGCTAACAAAGTGCATAATCATTTGGAACGTAACAACTTATTGGATGAGCAACAGAAGGGATGTCGGAATGGCTCAAAAGGATGTAAAGAACAACTGATAATCGATGAAATAATAACGGGTAGTGCTGGAAAAAAGAAGTCGCCTTTGTTCACTGCATACATCGATTATCAGAAAGCATTTGATAGTATTCCGCATTCATGGTTAACGAAAGTGCTACGCCTTTATGGCATAGAAAACCATATCGTCAAACTATTGACCTATGCAATGTCCAAATGGAAAACGCGTCTCTGTCTTAACACCCGAGACTCGCAGATAGATGCTGGAGAAGTCAGTATAAAACGAGGGATCTCTCAGGGCGACTCTCTAAGCCCGCTATGGTTTCGCCTAGCTTTACGCCCACTAACATCGCTGTTAAACAGTCAAGAAAAAGGCGTAAAGATTGCCGAGGATGGTACACAACTATCCCATCTTTGGTATATGGATGATCTGAAATTTAGCAAAGATGTGCAAATGACATTTGGTTTAGATAAATGCCGCATAAGTTGCATGACGAAAGGTAAGTGGACAGAGCATGAAGGGTATAAAGTAAGAGGGTCGCAAGGGGAGATCATCAATAAGCAAAGGGATGAACACTACAAATACTTAGGCTACCTCCAGGCATCAGACATAGACCAAAAAGAGAAAGAGAAGACTAAGGATCATTCTTAAATCTGAATTGTCTGCTAGAAATACGTCTGTTGCAGTGAACGCCTATGCAGCGTCAACGCTTACCTACACCTTCAGTATACTCAAATGGACTGATACTGAGCTGAAAGCCCTAGTTATAAGTACCAGGAAGAAATTCCGTCGGTATAGGGCGCATCATCTTAAAAGTGGAATAGAGCGCTTCCACTAAGCACGGCGCGAAGGAGGAAGAGAAATCCCAAGTATGGTGTCCAGACATTACCAGCAAATTGACAATCTAAGGACATACTTTTTGGAAAAGACGAGAAATAGCAGAATGCATCAGGCACTAGCCAAGAGAGATAAGGGCATTACCCCCAGTGAACCTAGCTAACCTAGCTCTCAATCCATCCGCGATGGTGTCGTCGCCCCCCGAACTGATCGAGAGGTGAAAATCCAACCCACTACATGGACGCTATATAACGCGAATTGAAGACCAGGCAGTAGACACCTAAGCATCCCAAGAGTGGGTGCGTTCCAGTAATCTGTTCGTGGAGATAGAGGGGTTTGTGATGGCTATTCAAGACCAAGTGCTGCCTACGAAAGTCTACAGAACGCGAATAATGGGAGAAAATATAGACAATATCAAATGTAGAATCTGTGGAGATACAGACGAGAACCTAGACCACATTATCGCAAGCTGTTCCACACTCGCCTCAAAATAGTATCTAGAAAGACACAACGACGTGGCAAAAATAATCTACTTGAAACTGGTCAAGCGCTATCTCAATGAAGGACCTACTGAGGCATACTATCGCTACACGCCCCTCCCAGTTAAAGAGACGGTCACAGAAAATGTATTGGAACAGGAAAATAATCACAGACCGCACAATACCAAATAACATCCTTGACATAGTGCTAACGTTAAAAGAGCAAAAGATAACATACATTATAGATATCGCGGTTCCGCTCCCTGTCAACCTACTCAGAAAAAATCAAAAAGTATCTACAACTGTCAGAATAAATAAAGCGGATGTGGGAAATGAATACAGTTATGATTGTACCGATAGTTATTGGCGCCACAGGTGAGGTCCTTAAGAAGTTACACACAAGTCTTGAAAAGCTAGACCTTGACCAACATGTTAACAAAAAAATCCGGAAAGCCGCTTTACTGGGGACATTGCAGAACAGTCCGTAGGGTCCTGGCAGGCGAAAACCCGACCTTGTAACCTGCAAAATTGGTAGTTGCCTTCAAAATGCTTACATCCTTTGGTGCAAACCTGGATTAAGCATAGCAAACCCTCTCAGAGGAGATGATTGAATAATAATAATAATAATAATAATAATAATAATAATAAGAATAATAATAATAATAATAATAGTAATAATAATAATAATAATAATAATAATAATAATATAAAATTACTTTAATAACAAAATTACTTTAATAACCATCTAAGTCCTAAGATAGCTGCTGTAGTGGAGGCAGATGACTCATTTACCCCTTTGAGCTTTCGGCAACCTCAAGCAAATACGGCTTCGGAATCGAATACTAGGAGGAGAGAATGCTGGGAGGAGAAAATTCTCCATGGCCGTTACCCATGCCAACTGAAAGGTGACAACATAGATAAAGCTTTGTCATTCACCTATTTGAGAAAGGCATATCTCCATCCAACAACGGAAGGGTTCATAACTGCCATCCAGGACAAAGTAATAAAAACAAAAAACTATGAAAAACATATTCTCAAATCCAACGTCCCAGATGAATGTAGGAAGTGCAACCAGGCGGGCGAAACCATCGAACTGGAGCTTGCCCTGCGTTGGCAGCTGGCGATTATTTGGGAAGACACAACCAGGTTGCAAAAATAATCCATTCACAGCTAGCTCGTAAACTTAACTTGGTACAATCTCCTCCGCCATATTACAAGTACACGCCTGAGCCAGTTCTGGAATCAAAAGATGTAATACTCTATTGGGATCGGCCATTTCTAACCGACAAAACTGTAGACTTTAACCGTCCCGATATTGTCCTGATAGACAAAAGCAACCAATATGCTCAGATAATTGAGGTTGGAATTCCGCTTACACACAACATCCTCAAGGTAGAGCGTGAAAAATCTGTTAAATACCAGAACCTGGCGATTGAAATGAAAAGGATTTGGAAGCTGAGGGAAGTGCAGATTATACCCATTGTTATCTCTGTGGAAGGGGCTGTTACCAAACAAGACTCATCAAGCTTAAAGACCTTGGACCTTCCAAACGGCCTTCACATATTATTCCAAAAAGCCGTTATCTTACAAACGTGTCATATTGTGAAAAAGGCACTGTCTCTGTAAAAACTATCCTTGGTTGGAGTGAACTCCCCCTCAAAGATAGTACACCACCATACGTGAGAACTATGAGCATGAAAAAAAAAATAATAATAATAACGTTAGCACAAAATTTTAATCTCATTCATTCAACCGCGCCATATTATAAATTTACACCATTCCCAGTACTCGAGAATCAGTCGGCCCTATTGTACTGGGACAGGCCAGTCAGAGCCGATAAAACAGTTGACTATAACCGGCCAGACATACTACTGATCGATAAAAATAAACGGAAAGCATACGTACTTGATATAGCAGTTCCACTCACAGTAAACATAATCAGAACCGAATACACCAAGGCTGAAAAGTACCAAAACCTTACCATTGAAATCAAAAACATTTGAAAACTATCAGAGGTCTGCATAATACCAGTAGTAGTGTCTGTGGAAGGGGCAGTCTCTGTAAATCTCCACTCTCACTTAGAGAAAATCAAAGTTCCAGCGCATTTTATTGCATTGATACAGAAAGCCGCAATCTTGCAAACATGTCACATAGTTCGCAAGTTCTTCGCAATAGGCTGAGGTGAATTCCTCCCCGTGTGTAACGGTGAAAGACCAACCAAAAACGAATAATAATAATAATAATAATAGGCGCATAGAATTACCGTGGCTGGAAGTGTATTAATCTACTAACATCCAAAAATTGTAACACACCTCCCCCACCCCCTACAACCAACAACCTTCAATTTTAACCCCTAGAACAATTTTCAAAAATGATCTGGACCTCGCAACTAGCAAATATATTTGATAAATTTAAACTGTTCGTGCTATTTTATTTTATAATTCCTTTATTACTGCTCTTAGAACGCAATGTTGTTTTAATAAAATTAGGAGTAAGACAATTCAGCTCTCAGAAAGTATTTTGCTTTTTTTAACGTAGTCGTCAGAACGTTCTTAGAGCAAAAATACAAAACCTTTTTGTGACAAATTTTAATACTTTATAAACGTTAACACAACAATTTTATACTTTATAATTGAGTTTACCGAACAAATTTGTTTCATAATCGATTTATACTGGTGTCATCTGAAACCAGTTTATACATTTGCGAACATCAATAAAATTGTTTTATAAGCGCTGTGCACTCAGATGGTGTCTTAAAAAAACTATTATATAGCTTTTATCATCACCATCTTAATAAAAGCTACTTGTATATAAAACAATAAGACGTTTGTAAGGATAGAAAAGCATTTATTAATACATTTATAAAACGAATAAGGCATTCTCGCTCGCCATTGCCAATCGCCATTATTAGGTACCTTTGATGTTACTGTGACAGAAGTGCAACACCGTCCGTATGAATTCTCACATAAGTAAAGGAAAAAAAGTTAAGAAAAAGTGCATTCTACAGAAACGCTAAGAAGTGTTACCAAAATATTTTGGGTAGTGAAATGATCATTTGTAATACACTAAATCTTTTTATAAAGAAAGCACCAACTGACCCATCAGATAAACAAGATGATTTTGCTTCAAGAAAAGCTATTGAACAAAGTGGTTCTGTTACTTGCCAGCAATCAAACTCATTGTTGTCAGTAAAAAATTGCCATTTTAAGTAGGTACAATGTTTTCTCCAAACTAAGATACTATATCAAATTATGATAAATTTTTTCTATATCTAGCAAAACGATGTTTAAATTGTTTTGATCCAACACAAAAAGAATCAAGCAACCAAGACGGTTTCACTATTGAACAAGAATAACAGTTGAAAGTAAAGTTAGGTTTTTAAAACAAGCAGATGTGGCGCCAGCTCTCTAGTTGCTGCATATGCGACAGATTTGAGAGAAAATTATTTTATAACTGATGCAGCCGGAGCATTTAAACAACATTGACACAATCCCTTTAATTGATATTTTTTAAATTAATATTTTATAAATAATTTTAAAAACGTTTAAACAACTATTCGGTAAAAGCTGTGGAAACCATAATAAAACAAACTAAAGAACAAAATTGCTGCATGGGTTTATAAGCGTTGTATTTATAAACGTTGTTAGAACATTTATAACGGCATTGTTATTTTATAAAAATAGATCTGCAAACGTTGTTAGGACATTTATAAAACATAAATTGTTAAATGGGCTGGCACCGTTCTCCGCCGCCACTGAATTGATTTTCGAAAACTACAAAGCTTTTTCGTCTGTGTATAAAAGTTTCATTCAAATAGTACAGTACTTTCTAAGTTGTAGACGGGCCAAAGGTTGGTGGACTGACTGACGGGTCGATAGACAGACAGGAATACATACTGACAGAAATAAGTGACAGGGTATATGATAGGATCTTGAGACTTACGAATATGTAAGAGAAGTCAAGGGGCCCTTATATGGATAGCATCATGCATAGTTAATGTAGTCGGGGTGGCAGCGCCCCAAACATAGCAGTAGTCGAGGCTAGTTCTTATCTGGGCCTTGAACAGAGTCAGGAGGTTATGTGGAGGAAAGTACCAAGTAAACAAATAGCTTAGCTTTACCCCAACAGCAGTATGAACTATTCAATCTACATCAATGTAGTTCTGAACGCCTGTTTCTTTGCAGCACGATAATTTAATGCCTGTGTATGGGTCTTTGAAATTTCAAGGCAGCCGTATACAAGTAGCAACTAGCTTGTTGAACAAGTGTAATAATACGAGAATAGTACGCACCTTGTATATATGTTGACAGCTTCATGTCCTGAGTTTATGAAACAAAACTGTTTCCCTAAGCCTGGTTGTTCGAAACGTTAATGGCAGTTTAATGTCGTTTAAGTAATGCGATGAGCTGCTCGAAGCATACAAAGCGAAATCCTGGCACAATTAACCTGATTAAATTCAGGAGTAGATCGCAGAAGAACGTCCAAAATAAGTCTTAGGAGGTGAAATATTGCCGTTTGCTCTTTGATCCGTCGCTTTGTAAATAAATTTCGAGCAGTCGATACTAGTCTATATTGAACTTCGGAGCGTTAATCAGATCGTTGCTAATGACACTCCCTGAATCACTCGATTTGAATTAAATACTTGTAGTCCAAGACCCCATGTATGTGCCTCTAACATTCTGTTGAATATCTATACTAAGTGACATATAAATCCGAACAATGGTTTTATTTTAATAAAAGTTGGTGAATGTATTTATCTTACTGTAAATAACAAGTGAAACAATTTTCAGCCTTATCAGTTGGACATTCCGGTTTTTATACTGCTTTTTTTTCATTCACTAACGCTCTAAAAATGAATATTTCAGCCGCAGTAAAGAATCGTCGTTGGCGGATTTTGGTTCTTGACATCCTTTACGATCGGTTACGATGCCTAGAGTACGTAGACCTGTACGATTTCGTCAACTTAGTGAGTTTGATAGGGGCCGTATAGTGGGACTTCGGGAAGCTGGACTTTCTTTTCGGGCAATTGCAGTTAGAGTGCAAAGAAGTGTAGACACTGTGGTTAGATGTTGTCAGGCATGGCTTCGAGAAGGCCGTACGCAAAGAGCAAGGGGCACTGGACGCCGCCGTAGAACAACAGACCGTGAAGATCGCCGCCTAAGATTATTTTCCTTAAGGGACCGTTTCTCCACTACCAGGTCCATTGCAAATGAATGGTTTGCAGAACACGGAAGACCTATTGGCATGCGAAGTGTTTACCGACGAATGAGAAGTTTTGGCTTGTTTTCATACCGGCCACACTGGGTCCTCCCTTTAACTCGAGAAAACCGACGTAATCGCCTTGAGTGGTGCAGACAACGGTCACTCTGGGATCAGGAATGGAACAGTATTGTTGTTAGTGACGAGTCTCGATTTTGTTTAGGCATGCACGATGGTCGTGCCAGGGTTAGAAGGCGACGTGGTGAAAGGAGGAATCCACAGTTTTTTGTTGAAAGACGTGTTCATCACACTGTTGGAGTTATGTTTGGGGTGCTATAGCTTATGGTTCCAGGTCACCTTTAATCTTCATCAGAGGTAACATGAACGCGCAGCGTTATATCCACGAAGTTCTAGAACCCCATCTTTTACCCTATCTTGACACCCTGGCAGATCCAACTTTCCGACAAGATAATGCCCGACCACATGTTGCAAGAGTCACAATAGACTTCTTTCAACATAATGATGTCACATTGTTACCATGGCCACCAAGATCTCGCGACTTATCCCCAATTGAGCACGTGTGGGATATGATGGGTAGGAGATTGCTCAATTTGCAACGTCCTCCTCAGACTCTAGAAGCACTTCGAGAGGAGTTGGTGGTTGCCTGGAATGAGATACCACATTAGGACATTGACCACCTGATCAGAAGCTTGCCTAGGCGCGTTGGAGAATGCGTAGCACATCAGGGTGCGTCCACACATTATTAAAGGTCAAAGGGCTTTAAAGCAGTGCAATCATTTTGAAATTTTTATCATTTACTTATTATGCTTCATTAAGTACTTATACAAAATTTTATTAAAATAAATCCGTTTAAACTGGGTGTTCGGATTTATATGTCACTTAGTGTATGTCGCAGCACATTAGCTTAATTATCAGCCTAGCCTCTTTACTAAGTGACACCGTAAAAGTAACAGCCTGAATGAAAACTGAACTGGCCGGCTGATGCTTAGACAATTCATAGAATGAGGTGAGGAAAGATGAAATGATAGCCATATCATTATTTAGTCTTATCATGGGGTTAGATTACTGTTCGCCCTATGCAGAAACTCTTTGATTGTATTTTTCTTGAAATCGTACTATTGTTGTGTGCAAGCAGTCAACTGCGAGAAACACCAACAATATATCCAGTGCTGTTTGGCCGTTATGAAACCACATATGTATATAGGAATGAGTTTTTACAATCTTCGGTAACCTTGGTGGCTTTCTTCAAAGTAGGTACAGATGAAATTGTCAGTGATAATATATTTTATAGTAGCTGACCCAACAAACGTTAGCATAGGTATAAACTGGGATGAATAATGAATAATTAAAGGGTAAATACATGGAATATAGAGAATTGTATAGCGAAGTACTTGGACCGCCATGTGGCTAGCAAAAGATGTTGGCAGCACTGCCATTCCCCCATCAACTTACCTTGAAAGTTGTCATAAAATTATGTCGAATGACTTTTGTGGCGCCAAATGACGTCATTTGAAAGCACCTATTGTATTGCTGGATACGAGTCAAAAAATGTATAGAAATTGATCAATTTCCGGAAACCAATGAATGTAGTGGCTCTGGTGGTGGTACCAATGGAGTCAATTTGACTTGTCCACTTACGCAACATAATCCAGGGATTTTATTTTTAAACTTGAAATTTTAATACAAGGCGTGATTGCGGTAAACTAACTTCCACCCTTGTTAATTGTTTTTGAACAACTACTTCTCAAAAAAAAACTCACTGAACGAACTGAAAACTGGATAA